GACGCAATAAAGTGAAATTGTCATTTAATGTTACATGTATTTAAATGACTAAATGTGAAACAATATAACATTTCAAATAAATGCAATTGTTATAAATGCAATTATGCAACAATGCAAACAATATAAACTATAATACATGTATAAGAACAGAAATAAAATGTTGATCAAAGAGGGCAATCTTTTTGTCCACCCTTTAAATAAAGTAAAAAACGCCACACATTGCAAACAACTGTGTGGTTTGCAATAACCGCCAACATATATTGTATTTCATTATACATCCAATAGTTAGCAGTCCTTACGATAAGAACAATCAATTCGAATATACCATCAACATTTCCGAACAAAACATTTCTAACAATAACTCTCCCACAATAAACATGATCATTCCGAAACGAAATCTGGGAAATCTGTCACATCCTACAAAACCCAGATCTTAAATATTTGGTTTGACCCAGGTTGGAAAAATAAACTTCTCCATAAGGTCGTCACTTTTTGTACATATACTTGTTTAAACACAAACACTCCCGCAATTACTTAATGTGTTATCTGGTTTTTAACATTGCCTTCAAATCATTCTTACCATTCATAAATACTGTGTATGCTGTGTAGTAAGGTGAACAATATATGTTAACATTTGCATTATTTAGGACAATGCACCGAAACCTTTTCAACAGGATATATAGTGTCGATCATTATTTGAGAAAAAAATCACCCGTTATTTTTCAGAGAATTTATATATATTTTTTAGTATATTAATGCTTCCGAGGGATTACTTTGTTTCCAGATTTTTATACTTCACAGCAGCAGGTGTCAAGTGCTGTGTGGCAGCTTTAAAAAGTCGCCCCGTACTTCATTTTAGTGCTGTTGTATTTTTTTGGTCCTTCGGGATCATTGATGCCAGCACTATTAAGTGTTGAGAATTGAGTACCGCTCAAGCCGGTGCTAGGGGGCGTGAGGGATCTTGCACTAATTCATAATCCCTCATGTATAGACTCAAGCAAACCGAGACTGCGATTCTCTTGTATTTTATTGTGATTAATGCTTCCGATGGATCACTTTGTTTCCAGATATTTATACTTCACAACAGCAGGTGTCAAGTGATGTGTGGCAGCTGTTAAAAGTTGCCCCGTACCTTCAGTGTTGTTATATTTTTCTGGTCCTTCGGGATCATTGATGCCAGCACTATTAAGTGTTGAGAACTGAATACCGCTCAAGCCGACGCTAGGGGGCATGAGGGATGTTGCACTTATTCATTATCCCTCATGTACAGACTCAATCAAACCGAGTCTGCAATTCTCTTGTAATTTTGTTGTGATTAATGCTTCCGAGGGATCACTTTGTTTCCAGATTTTAATATATAAATCATATCTTTCAAATTCCTCGATATATTTAATTCTGTTATTTGAAATCAAATCATATATGACAGAGCATCGACGCGCATGATCTAATAAATAAGGGAATGAGAAACCTATTACATTGCAACATCTTATTGAATTGCGACAACATTAATACATAAATTTAAACCAAATCATCAAACTTGCTTTATTCTGTAAAACGGTGCTACAGACTGACTTTAAAGGAAATTCGAAAATGAAAAAGCTTCTATTCAATATATTCGTTTAAAGCAACCTTATGATTCATTTTGAGAATTGCCGTCAGAGGGTGGTTAACAAGTACATGATTGAATAGCATTTTTTCAACAATTGCGTTGAGTGTTGTAGTAATTCAATGAAATGAAATTGATGAGATAGTAACTATCAAAACACTTACATTTGTATTTTCTATACTGGCTTTATAAAATGTATTGAAATATCCATACATATTACTTAACAAACTATTTAGATGCAAGTTAAAGTACAATTAATTGCCATACTGGGCGATTCTTCTAACTGCAATGATTTGTTAAAAGAAGACAGGACTGTGTAACATGAATACCTACAGCAAAGGCAGAAAGTGTAAAATATAATGATAAATGCATGAATACATTTGTTCAAATTGGTCTTTTAGTGTTACACTATGAAATTTGTATGTATGCCTGTCACAACTACCTATTTTGCTATTAATGACACAGATTAAAAACAAAGTTGTTTGAAGGGTACTCAAACTATACATTATCTTTGTTATTATAGAAATTATATTAGTATTTATGTGCATATTCGGTACCTGACATAGTTGATATTTTTATTTCTTAAAAATGAAAGCTTGATCAATTTCATTGTATCTGAAAAGATCAGAAAGTAATTGTTATATAGAACAATATATTTCATCACCCATATGATGGCAAGAATCAAACGTGTAACATTATCTGCATGGTATTAATTTACTTTGTATGGGTAAATAACATTTTTTTTATAATTCTTCTCAATTTGCCTTGTTGTGTTGGAACCATTGTGCGATGTATTGATAAACACTAAACAAAATTAAAAAGAATTCAAACTTTTGTCTTTTTATTATCAAAGGGATACAACTGCAATATATTTTTGACGTACATAAATCGTAACGGTTATTTCCCATATATTGTGCAGAAGAATGAGCGTGAAAGCCTTATATTGGTACAGATTCGTGGTCAATATTAACTTTTTTATAGACATGTGATCAATTGTAGAAACAAATCATAATGTAGAAACTAAGCATGAAAATAACTTCATTCATTTCATAAAATGGAAGAGGTAATAGTTCGTAAAAATGTGCTTTGGATTGGACAACTGTCTCAACCTTCTCTTTCTCATGTCCGACATTTTAGCTTTTGAGATAAGATAAGAAAATTAGGAACATAGAGATATGTTTAAAAATTCATGTAAAATTATATTTACAACATATGCTTACAGGAGGAGTTATAGTATATAGAGTTGTTGTTAATTACATTTCGCTTTAACTTACGGATATAAAGGTACATGTATATTAAAAAGTATCAATATGTCAATGGGCAATAACTTTTTTATTTCTTTACTTCAAAAAAAACTTTTACATTTACTTCTCAAAAATTTTTCTAATTTTTGTTGTACATGTACTTTGATAGTTTCCAAAATTACTCGATGGCAAATTACCTGTAACACTTTTTTTTATCTGTTGCTTTTTGACAATTGGTACAGTTTTACTGATTTATTATGTTGTAAAGATGTCACAATATCTTTGTTTGCATTTTATTCATTTAAAACAAAACAAATTATTTCACAGCAATCGCTCATTTCTTCACCTTTCAAGCCTCTAATATACTCTTATATATCTTCATTTAAAAGATGTAAAATTCATGTTTGCCGTTTCTACAGAAGTTAAAATCTATTCGTTAGTGTGACACATTGTGCCTTGAAGAGCGAAGGCGCATACACGAAATCAGTGCTAAACGGAAATGAGTAGATTCTTTTTCTTACGGTTTGTTTCAACCCCAAGACCAGCTACAAGGGGGTCATACCATGCTCGCGCATCCTCAAAATTCTGATACCGCGAACACTTTTTCAACCGGTATTTTGAACAAAAACGAGTCATGTAAAGCAATCAGAATAGATTTGATTTTTATTTCTTTTGCAAAGAAGATATCCTGACTTCTAGTTTTAATATTCCAAATGCATTGGCACAAGTCTTCCCTTTCGTGTCAGTATTTCGCGTCTTGAATGCGATTTTGATTCTGGATACTGCATACACCCGGCGTTGAAATGTAACAGAAATTGAGAAATTGTCAATTAAACTGACAGTTGCACACAGCTGGAAGTTATTTTATTGTAGAACCTGTTTCATAAATATATTTTCAATCTTTGTCATTTTTCCTTTGTACGAAAAAATGTCTTTAAACGTACTAAATACAGGAAATAGACATTATGATACTGCGTACACTCTCAAGAAATCAAGCTTCACACTGCGTACACATTTATGTGTTATTTATTCTGCCTACACTTTCTTCGAAACATTAAAAGTTCACAAAAGGATCAAACGGATAACACTGGCGAACAAAAAAAATAAAATAATAAAAAGATAATTAAAATAAAAAAATAAGATTAAAATCGTATGATAAAGTATGTTCCTTTAAAATGTTTAAAATGAACATCCTTAAAAAGGTTTGAGTTTAATATTTTTCATTAATGAAAAACATTAAACTCAAACCTTTGTTAAGATGTACATTTGAAACATTTTAAGATCTTATTCTATTTCATTTTTTTTATTTTATTGCTTTGTTCGCAAGTGTTATTTATTTGATTCCATTATGAACTTAGACTGCTTCGAACAAAGTTTAGGCAGAATCAACAACACATAAATGTGTACGCAGTATCTTGATTTTTTGACAGTGTACGCAGTATCATAATGTCTATTTCCTGTCAATAGTACGTTTTAAGACATTTTTCGCACAAAAGAAAACTATCAAAGATTGAAAATATATTTATGAAACAGGTTCTCCAATAAAATAACTTCCAGCTGTGTGAACCCTTAAGTATAATCGACAATTTCACAATTTCTGTAACATTTCAACGCCGGGTGTACGCAGTATCCAGAATCAAAATCGCATTCAACGCGAAATACTGACAAGAAAGAGAAGACTTGTTTCAAGGCATTTGAAACATTAAGACTAGAAGTAAGGATATCTTCTTTGCAAAAGAAATTAAATTCAAATCTATTCTGATTGCTTTATTTGACCCGTTTTAAATATAAATAAAAAAATAAAATATTTATCATTTAATGTTTAACCTGTCCGTGCTCTGTCTTTGCCCTGTCCTGTTTTTGTTTTGGGTCCGCCTGGGCTCCTTGCCATTGGTTCTGGTTGCTGGGTCATATGGGGGTTGCGTTCATTGAACGCCGCCTTTCCTTGTTGATCTTGCTTATCATATTTGTTAAAATACCGGTTGAAAAAGTGTTCGCGGTATCAGAATTTTGAGGATGCGCGCGAATGGTATGACCCCCTTGAATAAGATCTTTTAGCAAAAATAAAAAATATAAAATGAAATGTAAAATAATCAAGCGAAAGCATTTAATTTATTGATCATGTGCATGTTAAATATTTTTAGGAATTAATGGAAGTACCTGGGAAACTAAGTGCTAAAGACTCGACATTAGTATGTCTCCCGTGTGACAGTGATGGTTTGAAGGAACCTGCTTATGGCTTCTGCCAGGATTGCCAAGAACATCTCTGTGAAACATGCTACAAACATCACAGACGGCCACGCCCAATGAGAAATCATGTCCTTATTGACAAAGAATCCATGCCAAAGACCCGGGTAATGGAACCTACAAAATTGGACGTAACGGAGGATTTTTGCGAGTTCCACCCAGATAAACCATTAGAATTCTATTGCAACGATCACAAATATGTGGCATGTTATATTTGTGTTACTTTGGTACATAAACAGTGTAAAGTGGACTTTATTCCCGATGTGTCCGGAAATGTGGCCGATGAGATGACCGATATGTTAGAACAAATAGAATCGTTGGTAAGAAACTGTAAATCAAATATCAAATATACCGGCCAAGCTTTACAAAATCTAGACCAGAGTCATGCAAAAGTTGTTGAAGATATTAAATTCTTCAGGAAAGAGATAAATGAATGTTTAGATAAAATGGAAACCAAAATATTACAGGAAGCTGAGACATTTGTACAGGCTGCTAAATGTAAACAAGAAACCGTTCAGACTGCTAACTTAGAAATAACTGAAGAACTTGAATGTTTGCAATCCTTGTTAAGCACATTAAGAAAAGAAAATAACCAAAACAAGCTTTTTATTGAGATGATAAAAGCCAGTAAACGGCTCCCGATCATGAGAGATAAGGAAAAGCAAGTTTTGCAGGCAAATAAAACAGACGATTGTTTACAGTTTACCCGAAACACGTGCTTCATTCATGAACTTAAAACGAGAAATGAATATGGACACTTGTCCACACAAGTAAAACCTTCCCCAGCTAGAGCAACAAATTTAGCATTCAGCCGTACAATAAACGTGAATTCCAAATTCGATAGGACAGAATGTAACATTACTGGTATAGTTAAGATTGCTCCTGAGAGAATGATTCTTGTTGACAATATTAATAACAATATCATACTACTTGATACAGAAAAAGATGTGGTTGTGACAGAGATAAAAATGTCATCATTGCCTTGTGATGTTATAACTCTTCCAGCAAATAAGCTTGCTGTATCTTTGATAAATGAAATGTGCATTCAGATTTTATCTTACACTGGCACAGAACTTTCATTTGGTCAACGTATTGATGTTAAAGGACGTTGCAATGGAATAGCTTATTGCAGTGATAAGTTTGTTGTAGCTTTCTGGAAAGCCAGGAAAATACTAATTTTCAACTTATCTGGAGAAGTTATCAATGTTATTGATTCTCCTGCTTTATTTCATGGACCATCGAGAGTTATCATCAGCAATGATGAGAGGTTCCTTTATATTTCTGATACTGATTGGAGCCAAAATAACAAAGTTGTAAAAATGGATTGGGAAGGGAATCTTATGCACGTGTTTGAAGAGCCAGGACATGCATCTCCTTTCGGGATACAACAATTAGAAGATGAAACGATACTTGTTTGTTACAAGGACAGTAAAAATATCCTGAGGCTGTCGGGCATTTTAAACAAATGTGAGATTGTAGGGCTCGATGAAATAAGGCTTAAGAATCCAAAAGCTATAACTTATTGCGATAAAGAACAGAAACTGTATGTCAGTTGTTCAGTGGGCAGAGGGAAATGGAATGCTGATATTGTTAAAGTGTTCAATGTGAAGTGGATCTAAATCTTTCAATGAAACCTTACCTACAGAATTGGTGTTTAATTTTGATAGGGAAAATATGACGGTTGATACTTCGAAATAAGATTTTGTGATATATATGATGTACACTGTGATTAAACAAGAAATAAAATATTCAATCAATGCCTACTCTTAGATTTTGCCTAACAGTTTGGCTATTGTTCGATATGCTTTGGAAATGCATTGAGCTTGTATATGAGTATCACTTATGTTTTTAATCGGCACGAATACAAGATATTATACAATTATACAATTACATACACACTTATGTATTTTAAAGGTCCAAAACAGTCAAATATCGTTATCTCGACATCGCTTTTCTCGATATTTCGTTATCTCGATGAAATGTTGTAAGTCCTGATTTTCTTCCTTCTTCATCTATATTGGATATTTTTATTTCGATATTTTCAGTATCTCGGTGTAAAATTTCAGCCCCAACAGTTTTTTTCACTTTATTATCCTTTGTTTATCTGGACTAATATTTTTCGTGTTTTTTTTTTCGTTCCCTTCAGACGTGTGAAAATAACAAACTAGACGATAATTACTGTTTGCTGTTATAAAAGTTTAATCTAATTATCGTGTTGATTGACTAAATGTCCAAAATGAGTGAATTTTACATTGTTTATAACTATTCGCACACTGTGTTAATTCATTATGACTTTAGATGTAAATGAAATAGTGAAAGTATAGAAACGTTATCGTTGCAATATTGTTTCATTACATCAAAAAATCAAGACAGTGTCGGACACAAAGAATGAAGATAGATCAAAGTCGAAATATCATTTTTGTTTCTGTTTTTCTTTCTTTTTATTTCTCTTTTTTTCTTCTTCTTCTTTTGTGGGGAGGGTACTTAAAATTAATGTAACCTTTATCTTTCTACGATATGGTTATGATTTTATACATGTATATGGTTTTACAGTGCAAAGTGGAATCAATGTTCTTCTAAATGTTCTTTGAAAATATGCCTATATCTGATTAATGTACAAGTGACATAAATTGAAGAGGTAACATGCACTGTGTTTAGCCACTACTGTACTTTTTTTTTTTAATTGTACTTTAAACATTGAAATTTAATCGTTATATTATCTTACTGAGTGTTTTAGTATAAAAGGTACACTTAAATTACGTTTAGATTGTGTCAGACTATTTTTAAGGAATATATATCAAAAAAGACATGTATGAATATTCTGTTAGTTTGCCTCTTGTTGTTTTAAAGCGTAGGCGGAGGCTCAATCATTCGCTTCTAGCTTTTAATTCTCAATTTAGTTTGTTGGAGTGACACAGATATACATTATGGTTTTGTTATCTTAAATTTCATTCTTACACGGCGTGATAAGCTGTCGTTTAAATCTAGTAACATTTTAGATCAAAACATGATTGGTATTATACTGTTTTACATTTATCAAGTTTTTAAAAAAAAACGGTCATTTTATGTTCAGAAATAACGGGATTCATGAAACAAACAAAACTGACTTGTCTTTCAATCCAAATAAATTTATGTGTAATGTTGCAACTAAATGCCATACATAGCAAAATAATAACATATGTTTTGATACAAGATGAATCATTTGCCTAGATTGTAGCAGAAATTAGAGTTTAACAAACAGTACACCTTATGGTATTGAATGCAAATAAAAAGTACCGTCATGTTATTGTTTTCATTATAGGTGAAGTTTAAATTATACTTCTTAATCAAATTAAGCATACACTTTATACAAGCACTTTTCTAATTTAAAGGACCAGCCTTTTAAAACATCTCATAAAACGAAATCATATTCTATATATTCCACTTGTTGCATTCAAATTGATGTTTTGTTCATGTAACCGGAACATTATAAATATCAAACGATTAAAATCTTATAATAATTCAAATAAAACACTTTAAGAATAAAAATAAATTATTCTTCCATACAATAATTGAATTGTGTATTTTTTTATTCTAAACCTTTCACATATGTTATACTTTCAACACTGAACTTTCAATGCATACCTTTAACTCGAAAAAAAAAATAAATTCGACAAAATTCGGTTCAATCAGTTTTGAAAATCATTCACTGCTTAAAAGATAATCTTCAATTATATATGTCACACATTGCCTCAAATATTACAATTTCTATCAAAACGTTTATTGAAATAAAAACAAAACAAACTCACAATATTGCTATTGAAAAAAAAGAATTTATGATACAATTATACACTGCATAATATCATTTTAAGGGAAAAGATATAAACATCTCAATATAAATAATATTCCATAATTATTCGGCCTAATCATTCAGTCGAAGGTTAAATTGTAACAGAACAAATAAAATAGAAATCATAAAAGTCGCCCAACACGTTAAAATTGAAAACTTTGCAAGCTCGACGTTTGACTTTGAATCTGGTGTTGTTTATGCAACAGATATTAAGTTTCCTTTTTTCTTCTTCATATTTTTCCTTTTGTTCTTATTTGTTTTCTGTTTTTGTTGTGGCTTTGTTGTTGTTGTTGTTGTTGTTGTTCATTAATTATTTTATTTATTTATTTTCCTTGATTCTTGTTCTTCTTTGGAAGTATCTTCCCTTTTTATAAGTATTCATAATGTTATTATCCGACATTACTAAACTCTTTAATCCATGTAAATGCACATTCAATCTTTATTCCAAAACTTTGTACATGGTCAGAATTTATTCTCTTATGCAATATTTCCTTTAAGTTAGCCGAGATGATCTTGAGGCGGTACCGCTGGCGGATATGGTAACATCGGTCCTATGTCTGGTGGGAGCAACTCAAGATGAGATGGTTTAGGATCAAAACCACCACCAGAAATAATATTATATCCATTGGTGCTCTGTTGGGTTGGGTTGATCCCATTACATATAGCTTTCGGTTGGACGATATAACTGGTTTTTATTTGTTTGGGTCGTCAGACCAAACAAATAATGGTAGCGAAATTTCAGAGTCTAATGTTCTTAATTGCAAATGCCGAAAGTAGTCCACTTTTTTGAAGCGGTTACTTCCCTTTTGTATGTACACTAAAGCCGAAAAATTCAGGGGAGATCACTGCGTAAAGATGGTCAAAGACAGGCGCATCAATTTTCAAGCAAAGTAATTCCCGAATGGTCGAAGATTTCTAATATTGTTTTCTGGTATTTTCTGATCGAAAATAACTAAATACAAAGCGGACATTCAATCTCTGACACAGAAGTTTATGACAAACCTAACAACAAGTAGTTCTCAAAACAGCTTTAAAACTAGCGATTTAAAAGAAAGAAATATTTTATTTTGTTACAAGTATCCAACAAATTACAACGCATTTAAAGTTAAACAATAGCGTTGGCTTATAGAATTGTCAATAAATGCACAATCACAAATTACGCGGATGAATATGATTTTATCAATGAAAATACTATTTTTAGCCATGTAGATTACCGAATACTACACAAACCGAGTAGTGGAATATATAGATTCTACATGTCGGACTGTTTGGGCGAGAGGATTTTCGCTAAAATATTTACTTCAATTTTAAACAACAGGTTTACCCTGAACAAAATACCTCGAAATTAATAAGGATTACAAACCTGAATGCAATGGAAGTTCTAAATTTAGAATGACTTGATATTATTCAGTCATACTGTGTATAACTTCTCCCGTGGTACAGTGGTAACGCGCTCGCTTAGTGAGTGAGAGGTCTCGAGTTCGAATCCCAGGCGAAGAAATTTTTTTTTTGGTTAAATTCTTTTTTTAATTGTTTTTGTTAAGGAAGTAGCCATGATTTACAAGGATAAAGTGTGGGCTGTCGTAAAAAAAGTACATAAATGATTTTTTGATGCAACTCTAGTTTATGCAGAATTCCGTATGTGCCTTACAAAATGAATTATAATACATAAAAAATAAACTTATACAGGAAAATGCATACAGATATACAGTACGATTTAGATTGCAAAGATCAGAAAATACCAAAGAACATGAAGCCCTTTGATTCTTTATAAATATACATGCTTATAGTAAGCTTCAGGATTATTTACATCTGTGTTAAACAACAGTTAAAAGTCGTTACAAGCCCTAATTTAGAATAATATGGTTTTCTTCAAGCCGTTCACATATAAATTTAACCGTGGCTGAAGGGTTTTCGGGCTCGCTTAGGAAGCGAGAGGTCTGGAGTTCAAATCCCAGTAAAGGTAACTTATTTTTTAAATTGTTAAAGTCAAAATAAACATTGGATTGAATATCAGTGTTGCAATTAGTCTTATAGCCAATTTACTACAATTAAAACGCTGGAAAGCATTGGTGGCACTAAACATATAATCTCACAACCTGCACCTTTCTTACATTCTGAGACCCAAACAAATTCAGCGCCTTCTGTGCTTTGATTAAGTATGTATCCTTGACAACACCAGTAGTATTTACCAAGTTGTACTGGAAAGAGGCGTTTACAACATCCATTATTTCCTTTTAACACGTCTTGTATGATCAAGATACGATAACTAAAAAGAAAATTACACTTCAACACCAGGGATGTTAATACTACTTTATTATCTACTTTATGGGTTCACTTTGCGCATTATTTTCATCTTTAACTGTATTCGGTTACATCACATGTAGAGAAGTAGAGGAAATATGAAAATTTTTTTCCTTTAAAATTTTTAATAAACCCGTTTAAAAAGGAAATCAATCATCCCATAAAAAAAACCCTCCAGTGTAACAAAAAAAATAAACAAAAGGATTTTTTATGCTTTCAGTTTAAAAAAAGAAAATTAAAAGGGGAATTTGAAAATTTAAAACCACCCAAAGAAAGATCAATGGGTTTAGAGTGTTGGACCGTGAATCGGGCACCCTGTTTCGACTCCCGGACGGCGAAAGTCACTCGTTTTGATTGAGCTTGAAATCCTTTCTTCAGTCATTCGCACTGTACTGTATCTCCAGACGTAATGTAATCCTTGTGAAAGTGAAGGCACTGGTAATGAATGAAAGCCTGTCATGACTGAACTGTGTTCTGGTGTGGCATACTGCCGTGATCTGGAGGGTAAACTACCAACACCATCACTGTCATCATGTTAAAGATTTAACATTTGTTGTACCGGGTTATGAAACATGTTTTTTTTTACTTTGATATCATTATAAACTCTTTG